GCATAAATTGCGTTGTAGAATCTAAAGAAATTCAGTGAATGGAATCTGCAATAGTTTCCTCGAAATCAGAGAAATTGCCTCAATCAACGTCTTAAGGCGGAAGAAAGAAGAGATTTTCAGGCACCATGAAAGGGAAAAAACATTTAACTATTACAACTTTTTAAATTTTTTTAACACTCATTTGAATTTACTTACAGAGAATTTCCTTGCCATTTAAAAGTGAACAGAGAAGAGAAATCTGCGTGGATTATTGATTAAAGTGTCTGAAAGTCAAACGATCGACCATTACTCCCATTCATCTACGAAAAGAGACCTTTCCTTGGGCTGTGATTGAAAAGATCTTGGGGAGCGTTCATGCGGTGACTGAATGTTGAAATGAATAAAAGAATCGGAAATAATTTTTGTCTTACCTAGTGGGGGTGTGATTTCAGGATCTTGCGAGTTATTCCAAAGCCGTGTTAGTCGAGCGTTCTTTGTGGAAAATATCACACCGTTGAAAATTGGTTTGCCAAAGAATCAATAATGATAAATTTTTGTGTCTTACCTCGTGGGGGTGTGATTTCCAGATCTTGCGAGTTATTCCAAAGCCGTTTAATTCGATCTATCTTTGTGGAAAATATCACACCATTGTAAACTTATCTGACTGTTGATAATTTTCATTTTCCTGTTCCTTTCTCGGAATTTTTCCTCGGCGTGTGTGTATAATTAAGTATTTTTCCTTCCTCTGCTCTCTGGTCGTCCTTTAAGAAATTCACGGGAAACAATGTGAAATAAGGAAACGCACTGTTCTCTCTCCTTATCATTTGCAAAGGGAACCTGTTCAGAAAAGTACCCAAGCTGAGATAAGATCTGCGCACCAATTTCACTCTATTCTTGAACAGTTCACCGACGATACACTCAATCTTGTTCAGGATTAAAAAGAAAATGTCGCTTCCTCCAGAGTCTGTTCTACGGTTAAAAAAACGAAGGAGCAAATGCTGCAGATACATTATAGAATACTAAAGCCAAAGGTACAAAATCTAGAAGCAAAACATACAAACTATATCGGCGTTTTTCGTATACAAGAAACGGCACAACTTGAACTTGGACGCCAACTGAACTAAAACTAAACGTGCAAGGTACAAATGTGCATAATGAAGGATGTTTAAGTGTATAAGAGTCCCTTGTGACCTAACGCTTGGCAGTTCGTGCATACAACGAAAACAAAGAAAAAACTTCCAAGTAAAAAGATGCTAATGCACTTATCGCAGTAACAACCAAGCTGAGATAAGATCGTGCGTATCGACTACCTTGCTCAAACTGTTGTTATTCAAATTGAGGCAAGGAAATGTGCGTGCAATGCATGCACAGGCATCCTTCACGAATCATGCCACAGTTTAGGGATTTTTTTTAATCACATCAAAATTAAAGAAGCCGTTTAGACTTGATCCTGTTCTCAGTTGTTAACTGCTGTAAATTGACAAGATGGGGTTACTAGTAGAATCATGCAAATAAAACAAAAGTTCAACCACCAACACGTGCATGTCAACAATTGCTTGGCAAACTTTAAAAGCTCCCACACTTGATAAGTCATCAGGTTGTGCCTGGCAGGTAAGAAATTATTAAAAATAATTGGATTATTTGAATAGCCTAGTTTATTCGGATTTTGATTTTGTTTTTTTCTGTTTGTGGCTCTGTGCTAATTAAGACTCTTAGAGCGTAGCAGTGACGTGCTGTTAGGGACTGTAAAGAAGACGACTCAACTAGTGTGGTAGGCGCAGTGAAACGATGTGGCAAAGCGCGTGCACATACACTGTTTTGAGTTTGTAAACTTTACTAAGTGGTGGATAAGATTATCGCGTGAGCCAACCAGAGTTTGCAGTTGAATAGTCACATTTTTTGGATTTTTGTGTTGGGGATACCATTTTAATAGTGGTTTTTGTGATCTATTAGCGAGCCACAGAAACAGGCCACTACTACGTTCAATTATGACGTGTCTTGTGAATTTCAACGATATCCATGTCGTAAGTGTCATGTGAAGAAACAGAATAAGAAATTGAAGTCAGTCATTTTGATCTCGCTAATAAAATAAAGAAGCAGATTGATCACAGAGCTTCTCAATCAAGAGAAAGTTCGGGTTATAAGTCAATTATCCTTAATTTCCCGCCATAACAATCAGCTGATCAATGACGTCAGCACCAGATTGCTTCATTACCTTCTATGACATCATAATCACTTCTCGCTTTGATTTCCGTCAGCAAGGAAGCAAATTCATTTGGAGATGTGAGCTTGCATTTGGGAAGCTGAGTTAAAAAAAATAATGTAAGAAGTTGAAAAAATGACAAATAAGGTCCAAACCTGTTATTATAACGATGAGCAAAAGCTCCGATGCAAGCTATGATGAACAGCGCGAAAAATGGACCTCGAAAAATGATTTCATAGCGTCATATATCGGATATGCTGTCGGCCTGAGGAATATTTGGCGTTTTCCGTATCTTTGATACGAGAACGGCGAAGGTAACTTCCTTAAGTGTAGATGTCTATCACAGCCCTTTTTTAGGAGTGTAGGTTAGGTTTACAAGAGCACACTTTTTAGAGTTGCAAAATTCTTGCCACTCAAAGAGGTTGTATCGTGACATGTAATGTCAGATTTTGTGCCTCGAAAAAAACTCTTTAATTCGAGGGAATCAACCAAATGTCTGTTTAGTAAGGCACGCAAACATAAAAGAGCCAGACGACAGTGAAATCCAAAAGTAACAAGGATGACTATGGATGAAGAAGATTGACAAGGATTGTAAATGACTTCAGAATAATCGTTTGTTAAAATAGAGGTAACGATAAAAAAAGAAAGAAGACGAATGACCAAGACTGAGGAAGACTACAAATGACTACAAAATATAAGTTTGGTAAGGTAGAAAAATATTAAAAGAGGTGAAAAGTAACCAGAGGAGAAAAGGATGAGTAAGAAGGAGATTTTCAAAACAAGTTGGCATACACTTGCAAAGAAACATAGCAGATCACGTAAGTACCGAACATTCAATGCTTAACAACTTCCCTCCTAAGATCTCTTAAGTAATTCTCCTTACTGTCTGTTATACAATTCTTATGATGTTACTTCTGAGAATTTAGTATGGGACCAACAAATAATTTGCTAATTGATACTTTTCTTGGTTCTCATTACTTGTCTTCTCGATTTTGTATCGATATTATAAGGAGAAATTCTGTCTTGGTCACTCATGGGAGTTAAAAGGTTAATGTTTAGAAAATGAGAAGAAACGAGTGATCCGTAATAGGCACCTATACAGGAGAAGATAGGCTGTTTGAATCGTTATAAAAGCTCAAGTTTGGTTTGATGAAGTAAGGGAACTTTCGCAAAGTAAAGTGAAAGCAAAGAAAAAAAAAGAAGGCTGGTTGGTTTCATCGCCCTCACTTTCTCCATTCAGTGGTTACCAAGCTATAACCTTTACGGAAGACATAAGGCCAGTTGGTTTTCTAACCTGCGAACTCGTGCAATATTGCTGAGGGCTTGCAAAGTTAGGGAAATTCTGCGCCAATTCTTCAGTTTTGAATTAACTGCTCTCCCAGCAGTTAGACAGTCATGAGTGTAAGCATGGAAAATTCTCCTGCAGCTTCTAAAACCGAATAAGTTGGGCTTCCCTATAGTTTACGGTCGGTTACATTTGGCTAACTGAATGTATTTGATGATCCGAAAGGATGTCCTCTTCTCTTTTCTAATCGAACATCTTGACTTTCTCATTTATGGTGTGACTCTCGCCAGATTTATTTGTTTGTTACGAAAAGTTAAACGGTCTTCGTCAAGGTGTCCGAGAGGCGCGATTTTGTTAGAGAGAGGCAAAGGGTGATGCGCCGTGAATTTTATAGAAAGGCGAGCCTGAGTCGTGAATTTTTGATAAAGTGTGAGGCTTGATCTACCCCCTGAAATACATGTGACCCATGAGCTTTTCTTTTTTCTTTTATTTCGTGAAAACCTCAAGATTTCCTCAAAACCTCGCACATGAGAGGAGAGCTTTGAAGTTTTCCCCTATTAAATGACGCATGCTGCTTAAAGTACATGTGAAGCGTCGATTTTTCTAAAATTTGTGCTTAAAATTGGATCAGGACCCTTTGCTCCCCTCCCTTCCGCTGGGCTACCCTCATGCTAAAGCACAGCTAATAATATAGTTAGTTTATCATGTTTCCAAAGCTGATACTATCCGCAGAACGGATGTTGATCGAAATTTTGAACATTCAACAAACTTTGCGCGAAGTTCAGTCGTAAGAACTTTCGTCAATGCAGTTACAACTAAATCGTAGTTAATGGCCTCTACAATGTTCAGTGACAGATTATAATTTAGTGTCAACGTAAACAGTTGTAAAACAGGAAATGAAATGAAACTGTAAATAATTACGCTTTAGCGTTAAATTATACGTGAGTAGTAAAGAAAGATTGAAATAACTTTGCTGTTACTTTCCTGTTCTAAAAAAACAATAGGCTCCTAGAGAAATTTGAGTTATCTTGCGACACTGAAATTTGTTTCTCGATTACATGAAAACATCGCCAAACTGTAAGATATGACTCACGCAAAGTTATCGAGCTTCACAGTATGCAAGCTGACTTGATCTTCTTGTACATCCTCTTATGCTTGTACACGAGGTTGCAAACTCAAGTGCGTGACATATCACGCGTTAAAAGCGTGAAGTGGTCATACAATGATTTACTTGTTTGATGACTTGACTTGTTTTAAGGAAAACGAAAACGACCTTCGTCTCATTTAGGAGGCCATTACTCTTATCAGACAATAATATCAAATTTTACGTACAATCTGTTTATTTGCTCATTTGCACGACATAATAGGACGGAAATAAATGCTCAAACTGAAACGAATACGTGTCACCTAAATATAATTTCTTCATTCTATTGGATTTCGGTTCAGACACTAAAACAAAGAAGTTATCTATCAGTTCGCCATTCAGCGTTAGCCCTCAGCCAGGCTGTTGCTAAGGGAAGGCGCAGACTGAGGATGGAGTCCAAAGCAAATAAGAATTCTCACGTTCTTATGTTTGGCTTTTCAGTCAATTTAATTCTGACGTTAGGCTCACTTGGTTTCACTTGCTATTCTCTGCATCGATTAGATTCGCGTTTGACAACACTTGAGCGAAATTCACTGCTTAAAAACTCTCCGTACCAGATTTCCGATCCTTTTTCCGTTGCGCCGACATCTGCACATTTTCGTCCAAGTGGATCACTGGAGAAAGAAACTGGTCGCGTCCAAAGAGCTGTTGAGCGACCATCCATGTGCCACAAATGTAGCAGTGTTTGCGCGAATTTGAATGGTCAGCGAGGGGTAAGTTTTACTCTGTTATCCTTCCTTTTTTTCAAATGCCAATAGACCCTTTTATTAATCTTTTAAACGACCTACCAAATTTAATGACTGGAATTGATACAAAAAAACCTCTAAAGAGAGCTTTCACCGGGAAAAAAATCCAATGTTAATCACTTACTCGCCGTGCCATTCAGAATTGTAGCAGTTGACAAATGAGAGAGAAATATGTAATTGATGACTCGTTTTAGCGACAACGGAAGACGCCTCTTTGTCCATCAAATCTCGGCAACTTCCTCAATGTCTCATTCCTTACTTCTTCATCTTTCTTTTTTCGTTTGACTTAAATCATTTGTCATATTCAATATTGTTTTTTTCTGGTAAACCGTTTTATGAGAGGGTCTCAATGGGGTGATGGCTTGTACGGCTAACGGTTAAAATTTTGGTAATTTACGGCTGACAATTAATTTTTCCATTAAGATTTGCTTTTAGAGTTAACTATTTTTACGACTTATAAGGTTAAACGTTGTAAGTATCTACGCCTATTGCCTAAATTGGCTTTGAGTAGTGATTGATTAAATTAATTTTTTCCTTTCTTCTTTTCTTCATTCCATAGAATTCGACCGTGAAAAGAAGTAAGGGAAATGTTGTTTGCGTTGAGGGTAAGAGGTTCCTTAATACCCTGGTGGTTCGACCACCATTACTGAGTAATGCAGTTTCAGAGAAAAGGTACACCGGATTAGCATGAAACAACTATACATAACACTTAATAGATCGCTACCATTATTAATACCAACAAAAGCATATGTTTCTGAGGGTAAGTAAAAGTCTTGCTTTATGAAACTGTGTATAGGAACGTTACAATAACCATGGTAACTGCTTCTCTCGCTCCCTTAAAATGCCTGAGGAAAAGAGACCCAAAGAATGTGTACTGCGCTGAAACACGAAATCAAATAACGTCAATGCACACCATACCAGTCAGTGATATCGGTAGTTTGATTAGCGATAGTTTCAGTGATAGATAAACTGAAACTGGATGTTGCTGTACCAAACTAAATATTAAAGAATCGTAAGTTGTAAAGAGCGGCAAAAACATTCTTCAAAAGAAGTATTCACTCTGTTTCTTACTTGGATGCAAATTTTGTTTCGCCTCTGTCATTCAAAATTCATTATATTTTTATATTTATTCATTTATTTATTTTCATTTCGTTTTGTGGGACCTCAAGGCCCACCAGGTCCTCCCGGTATACCTGGACGCACTGGTCCCCAGGGCCCTCCTGGGTCGAGCGGTTGTACCGTTGCACTTATGTCCTCTTATTGCAGATATGTCCTCTGACGTAATGTGATACAGTGGCCAATCATATCCTGCGATCTATCGAGCGACACGCGGCTTGGGACTGGTTAAGAGACTCCGTTGTAGTTATGTCTTCAAGCAAAAGTACTCATTCAAGGGGGTCGGGATAAGTGGAAAATTTGACCAGTATTTTCCGGTAACTGCTCTCAGGAAAACATGCTGTTCGCATGATCACTGCGAACCGGATCATTGACCTCTCATATTGCTTTCCTTGAAGTTCAATCGTTCGTTAACGCAGAGTGATCGTATCGTTGTCATAACCTAAACTTGGAAGAACAATTTGCTGCGCGTGAATAACAAAGCGACTTTCGACCAAAGGATGCGTTATTGTTCACGTTTTATTTGCAGCCTTGCTTTATTTACAGTCTTCATTGCTCGACTTGCGACTTCAATGACAACATTTTAGCCACAAGCTAAGACAAAAGCACAATGTGGCGTCATATCACAATTGCTTTATTTTCTTTAATAGTTGAAGATCATAGATTATGGTTCATCGACATAAAATTATTTATTGTTTTTTTAGAGGGCACGGTAACGAATCCTGCAATCTGATTGGTTCTTTACCCGGTCAGTATTTTCCTATCTCTGCCCACGGGCCACAGTAACGCTTTCGTGAGTCGCCGAGTACATCCCAACTTTCGTTGTCATTTTTTCATAAATATACCTCGTTTTCCGGCTGGGCAGTATTTTAAAGCAAACAAGTCGGTCATTACCTCAAGCCGATAAATAACTTATAAATCCTCTCTTTTCTCTCTCTCAAATCACTTTGGTTGACAGAAAAATATTGGTTTCAGAATGAATTTGTATAAACAATAGTGTCATTACGTTGGTTGACAAGCGGCCTAAAAACCGTCTGCAATTAATTTTAATCATTCACAAAAAGTACCCAGAAAGTTAAAACGTGAGGTATTTGGTTACAGTTAAACTGAACTATGGAACTTTCATTAATTTAATATCTGAATTTTCTCGAGAAAATTGTTAGTAGTGAAAGAGCGAGCAAAGTTTTAATTTAAGTTCTACAACAAATATAGGCTCCCGGTGAGTCTTTCCAATTCCGTTCAATTTGGACATTTGTACCGTAAATTACACAACAGAAACTGAAGGAATTTTTCGAGAAAAGGCCGCATTAAATTCCCTTGTGTCTCGTTGGAGCGTGCCGTTCGAATTTAGTTTTTGTGAAGGAAAGACCAGATTTACACACGCCATTGCAGCAAACAAGCGAGCAAACTCTCACAAGTTCAAAATAAAAAAATTGAATTTACTCACAATTACTTTCCTCGCCGTTTACTTAATGAACAGAGGTAGATCTTCGTACATGAATGAATCGTCGATGAGAGTGAATAATACTTTCCGTTAGATCGTTGACTGATTTTGAAGAAAACATTGTCGTGACAGTCCTTGCCAAACTAGTTCCGTTGTTTTTCAAATGTTCTTATGATTTTTTTTTTCTTACGCTCTCTCTAATTGACAGGTGTCAGATTCTGACAGATACTTGTAAAAATAATGTTTCATAGTTTGTTTGGAAGCCTTTTAAATCACCTTTATCGTTACGGAAATGAAAATGTTTCGCTGAGGAATCTCTCTTTAATTTGCATCACCTCTATTTTAACTACCATTTACTCGCTCAAAAATTGTTCAGTTTATGGAAGATCTTGCCGTATTTACAGCCCTAAATCATTCGGGTTCTTTCGGAAAGAATTTCATCAAGTTTAAAAACAATAAATATGTTATTTACCGGCTAAGGGTCGGTCCGTATGGTGAAAAACTGTGACCGAGGTCTTGAAAATGCTGCCCTCGGCCTACGGCCTCGGGCAGTATTTTCAAGACCTCGGTCACAGTTTTTCACCATACGGACCTCCCAGCCGGCAAATAACATATATATATTTTTGACACTTCACCTGATCTGCCGGAGGTGAGATCGACTGAGAAGTCCAAGTTGTGATTATCTGTCTGCGTCACGAAGTCTTCCTTCAATCACAGAAGTTTGGCCTTCAGTTGTTTATTTTGAGTACTGTTGGTTTTTGCCGTATCGCACTAAGCCCTCCGTTAAAAACATTGAAGTAGTAGATTGTGATTTTATTGCGGTTCCGCTGATTTTAGCTGGTTTTTTTTTAGTACTGTTTCTAAATTATTGTAGGATTTATGGCACTTTTGGGTGGATTTGTCCTATTTTACCCTATTTATGACAAATTCACACAATGATTAAATCGAAAATGGGGCTAAAGGTGGCTATGGCAAATCAATAGGATAGAATCCACCTAAAGGATGAATTTCACAGAATTTATCCCGTTTTTCTAGAATTCATTGGAAAAAAATGGAAAATCGGGTTGAAGATTGGATATGGCAACTAGAGATCTATTCCATTTGGAGAATAACTTTTCAGATTTTACCCTGTTTTTTGTCAAATTCACTGAAAAAAATGGAAAATCGGAGTAAAAATAGCATATGGGAATTTCGGGTATTATTCACTTGTAACATGAATGCTCAGAATTTACCCCGTTTTTCTCGAATTCACTTATCAAATGGAAAATCGGGGTAAAGATGGCATATGGGAACTTAGCGTATTGCAATCACTTGCGGGATGAGTTCGCAGAATTCGCCTCGTTTTTCTACAATTCATTGAAAAAAAAAATGGAAAATCGGGTTGAAGATAGCATGTGGGAACTTAGGGTACTATTCACTTGTAGTATGAATGCTTAGAATTTACCCCGTTTTTCTCGAATTCACTGATCAAATGGAAAATCGGGGTAAAGATGGCATATGGGAACTTAGCATATTGCTATCACTTGCGGGATGAACTCGCAGAATTTATCCCGTTTATCTAGAATTCGATGAGAAAAAAGCATTGAAAATCAGGTTGAAGATTGGATATGACAAACTAGGATCTATTCCATTTGAAGGATGAATTCTCAGATTTTACCCCGTTATTCTATAGAATTTTCAGAAAAAAAATGGGAAATCGGGGTAAAGATAGCATATGGGAACTTCGGGTATTATCCACAATTTACCTCTTTTTTTTCTAAAATTCACTGATCAAATGGAAAATTGGGGTGAAGATGGCATATGGGAACTTACGGTATTAGCTACTTGCGGGCCAAATTCTCAAAATTTACCCCGTAATTCTAGAATTAATTGAAAAAAAAGAAAAAAAATGCAAAATCGGATTAAAGATTGGATTTGGCAACCTAGGATTTATTCCACTTGAAGGACGAATTCTCAGAATTCATCCCGCTTTTCTAGAATTCATTGAGAAAAGAAACTTTTTTATAAAATTTGTATTTTTTCCTCTTTTTTTCATTTTTAAGTAAGACTAGCGAGCCGCACAAAGAAACTCTTCTTGTAATTGTAAGCTCCTCGTTTATTTCCGACGCGTTTCGTGTCTAATTGAGACTTCTTTAGAGAACGACTACAATTAACGGGGAACAGTATATTACATAGCACGTTGGTGTGCCTAAGTTTTTAATTTCCATGGAAGTTAATAATAACTGAAAGCGGGCGTTATAGAAAACGTCTAAATACATATTAAGTTATTGTGCGTTGCCTTATTTTGGGGGCTAACGATTAGTGCTAATCGTAGAATTTATCGCTGAAAAAAGAAATGGAAAATTGGGGTAAAGATGGCATATGGGAACTAAAGGTGTTATCTACTTGTAGCATGTTCTCTCAGAATTTACCCCGTTTTGATAGAATTTATTGAAAAAAAATGGAAGGCAAGTCAGTAGGATAAATTCTACTTGGAGGATGACTTTTTAGAATGAATCCCGTTTTTCTATAATCATTGAAAAAAAATGGAAAATCGGGGTAAACTAGATTAGATGTGGCAGGTCAATAGGACATGTTCCAGTTGGAGGATAATTTACTAAAATATGGCCCGTTTTTCCATAATTCCTTGAAAAAAATTGAAAAATCAGAGTAAAGATGGCATATGGGAACTACAGGTTCTATCCACTTGTAGCATGAATTCTCAGAGTTTACCCTGTTTTTCTGGAATTAATTCACTAAAAAATGGAAAATCAGGAAAGATTTGACATGACAAAGTAGGTTATATTCCACTTGCGGGATGTATTCTAAGAAATTGTCCCGCTTCTCTAGAATTCACGAAAAAAATGGAAAATCTGAGCAAAGATGGCATTCGGGAACTTCTGGTAATATCCACTTGTAGCATGAATTCTGAGAGTTTACCCTGTTTTTTTGGAATTAATTCGTCAAAAAATGGAAAATCGGGGCAAAGATTGAATATGACAACTTAGGATATATTCCACTTACGGTATGAATTCTCATAACTTACCCCGTTTTTCTGGAACTCATTGAAA